GTGCCATTCCACATTATTACAAATAACTTCATTTCTGGACATTTATGGTTTGATTTCTTTGTATGTATGGATCACTTGGGTTGTTACCAACATCTGGTGAAAATTTCATGTCATTAGCACCTCTAGTGATATATTTACTGAGAAAAATGGTGACGTGTTCAATACTTATTTTACCCGCTGTATGTCTATTTCTCCACATTTCACTTTTGGACTTAATCCTCATTTCGATGTGACGGCTCACATTTATATTTTTATTTAGTCTATTATGTTTGTTTTATTACTTCATTGTTCTCCATGCATTTTTAAAAATAAAAACCAAATGAACAATTTTTGTTAACTTTTTAGTCAAAACACTATATTTGCCTTTTTCTCCTGATACCACCTTTACACTTAATCCTGATTTCGATGTGACGGCTCACATTTATATTTTTATTTAGTCTATTATGTTTGTTTTATTACTTCATTGTTCTCCATGCATTTTTTAAAATAAAAACCAAATGAACAATTTAGTGAAAAATTTCTGGGGGTCCTGGGACCCCAGTTTGAGAACCTCTGCCATAAAGAACCGAGCAACAACAACAACAAAAAAAAAACATTCAGCACCGTATTGTGTTTGTTTTTTAAAAAACAGCTAAAGCAAACAAAATATGAAGTTTTTAGCTGTTTACATTGGCAGCTACAAGACAAAAGAAGTGCTATTTATTAAACACAACGTCTGCTATCTGTCAAGCTCTCCTTTCGCTGTTTAACGTTAAAAAACGATGACAGGCTAAGTTAGCAGACGGCGGATTAAAGGCCCGAACACTCGTTCACTACAAGCTCATCAGTGGAGCTGCCAGAACAGGTTTAAAAGCTGCCAAACTGCAGCTGTAATCAGACTTTAACAGGCCGACGGGACTGCGCTGCGACTGAAGGAGGTATCTGTGTGAGTTTGGAGAAGAGCCCAGAAAACCACAGGGATCCTGGTCCAGAGCCACTCACAGCTGCTTTAAATGAGGGCTGCCCATAATTAAAGGCATAAATCAAACAGAACAACTCTGTTACGCTGGAAATAACTGCAAAGATAAAATACTTTTTGAGAAAATGAGTGCACAAATTTATGATTTTATTGGATTTATTAGACAAAACCTGCTGTTTTCTGTTCACCGATCAGAGGGTTTAATGTTGAGTTTAACACAGAATATGGTGATCTTTGTTTTCCTCTTCAGATTCTGCAGGTTCACATAAAAAAAGGCTTCATTTCTTAATCTTAATTTGGACATATGGGACACAAAATAACCAGATCTTTGTTTTATAATCATAGAAACATTTGCATCAATAAAATTCAGGTGGATCAAAGCTTTTTGTCCCCGAAAGAAAAAAAAAACCTCCAGCTCATCAGGTTTCAGTTTGATTCGTCTGACACGAGGAGTTAAACGTCCTTTAASATATTCCTTAGCTCTAAAAATGTTTAACGGTTTCTCCATTTCCAAAGCCAAAGAAGTGTCAGATTAAATTCAGGAGACATGAACCCTGCAAGGTTTTAGTTTCTACTCAGTSTACTGACTGATTACTTCTTCTCTGGTAGCAAATGTTCATCAAAATCACCTGATGAGAGTTTTTATCTGMAGTAAAGAACAGAATCAACAAAGCCTCACGTCACTTTGAGCTGCTCAAATATCAAAATTACAAGTTGTGTTTCTGAGTTGTTGATAAACAGACAGAAGATTCAAAACTAAAGTGCAAAAACTGTCCACCTGACCAAGTTTTAAAACCTTATTTCAGCCAAAAAGTCTTTTTGATCTTGTTTTCAGACTGATTTACTAAACAAGAACTGATTGTGTAAGAATAATCATCTTGTTTTCAGAATGTGTAAGATTATTTGTCTTGAAAATTTGACTCAAATTAAGTGGAGTAAGAAAATTTTACTTGGTAAGATTCTTGAAATAAGAAAAAATTGAGTCAAATCAAGTGTTTCAAGAATCTTACCAAGTAAAATTTTCTTACTCCACTTAATTTGAGTCAAATTTT